GATATATGTCTGATTTCCCACAGACTGGAAGATATGCAAGCGAAAAGCAACAAGTTGGCAGAAGAAGCATCAAAGATAGGACTTCAGGTGAACATAGAGAAAACAGAGATAATGAAGATTCCTGGACAAGAACAACAACAACAGACAACGATCAGCATAAATGGGAGGAACCTAAAAGAAGCAGCATACTCTGAGGAAACCATCAAGTGACATCACTAGACAAGCTCTCAAGTGGAACCCGAAAGGGAAGCGGCGAGTTGGTCGTCAGTGCAAGGGTGACTTGGAGGAGGTCATGTGAAGAGGAGATGAAAACGTGTGGGCAGACTTGGAGCTAGGTGAAGACTCTAGCAGAGAACCGAACACAATGGAGACGCACGGCTGAAGTCCTATGTTCCTCTGGGAATTAAAGGAAACAATAATAATAATAGTAATTGTGGGAAAAGTATTTTTAAACCTGTTGCTTTTGTAATTTATATTTTTGTATTGTTCAAGCTGTAGGCGTTTGGAAAGAGTCCGAGAAATCATAGGAGACGAACTTATATCACTCTATTGAATCTCTCCATAATAATTTGTTTATTAGAAATATCAAACCCGGTTACATTAGATTTTAAAACTTTCTTCTTATCCCATCATCCTATTGTATGCTTGTGAGTAATTCCATGTAGTCAGTGCTATAGTTGAACTATTCTCCAGATCTCCCAACTTATTAGGGTCAACTAATCTAGATTTTGCTACTAGGTTTTTATGCTCCGCTAGTCTAATTGCACCCGTTCTACTACTTTGACCTATGTAATTCACCTAGCCATCATTCCAGCAGGTTTTTAGATAAACTAAATTGTTTTGTTTAATTGGCTTCACCGACAGGATCCTTTAACCGACAAAGCTTGTTTCTAATTGAGTTTGTGGGTGGTTTGAATGCCAGCCACTATCCTTATTCCTGCATCGTTAAGAATTCTCTGTAAACTGGTTTCTGAGGTTCCTTTTTCGTATGGAAGTACTACGGATGATTTAAATTCCCTATTGCTGATGTTGTCATTATCCTGTGCATTTTTGACATGCATGTGGTAATTAATATTATTATTGATTTTATTTTTACATTTTCCCACATACTTCCTGATTAATTTATCCTGGTAATTATTAATTAAGTTTCAAAGCTTCTCTTAAATGCCTCACTTCCCGTTTTAGATTCTCCTTGGTACTATTTAGTTTTGTGCCCTATTATTTGAACATTTCATCAATCCTGTTTTTACTGACATAGAGTGGGATGATCCGAATATCGGTTTGGATGTGTGGATTTCCTGTAAACACGATACAACCTGATATTGAGAGCTCCTCTTCCTGACTTTTTAATTCATAAGTGAATTTAATTGCCTTCACCTTCGAGTTGATGTGTTCGAAAAATCTATTTATGTCCTGAATTCTAAATACGGTGAATGTGTCATCCACATACCTACACCACTTATCTAATCAACAAATTAATATGCATTTACATACTACCAGAGTGCCTAAGTTTACACATTTATCTATTAAATCTGTTGCCTGTGACGATATAGAGTCGCAAAAAAAGGGACATATATATCTGTTACTTCTTCAATGCTCCTCATCTATGAACCAAACTCCTCACTGATATAACTGTTTTTTCCTCATTAATTAAATCTGTAAATACATTCAAACACTGACAAAACAGTGAAGGTCAAAAAAGGACCTTTCCGGAGCATAATTGCTCCTACTTACCCAGCCACGTGGGCAGTTCAGGTTTGATTCCCGGTAGACACATTTCTAAACCCTGCCTAGCTTACTAAATGAGAGTAAGCCTGGTAAGGATGGAAGGTCGACCATAAGACTGACAATGCCACCCTGTTGCAACAAGCAACACCCCCTTTGAAACTTTCTTGAAGCCCTACGTTCCATTAGGGATGCAAAAGGAGAAAAAAGCGAACAAGAGACCTACTAATAAGCTTCGGTATGACTTCTATAATTCGAGAATCTGAGACAATTGTCCATGAGAGTGATTGTGTAACTTTTTCTAATCAGCAAACAATGAGACCACCGATTGCATTCATAATACTTACACATGTATATTTAAGACTGAACTGAAGGCAATAGGCTGAGTAACCGAATCCAGCATACAATGAACCCCTCACCCCTCCATTTTAGAGACCTTGATGCATCTTTGTGTATACAAGTCTTCGATAAAAGACCTTGTAGCACAGGACTCATGAGACTGTAAATTTTGAGACAGATGAACGCTGAAGACAAGCCTTCCACCAACAATTACACTTTCCACAATCACATAAGACGGAAATCCTGCTAACCCGTAAAATCTGAGGATACCAATTATTATATACCGACAAGAGAAAAATTGCATACGCCTTTAGATAACTCTGGCCAGCAATCTACTCGGTGGTACTTGAAATCATGCTATTTCAGAAATTTCCTTTAAGATGTTCCTCAGGATGAATACCACGTAGTATCCAACTTCATTGTACCGTATGTTAGTTTCATGAAATCTTCAGGAGGAATCTGCCAAGCCTGTTTCGTGTACTATTTCATAGGCCGACTTCCCAAATTACTAACCAATTCGGAAACTATGCAAGGTTTAAACCATTTATAACAGTAATTATTGATGAGACTAGGTTGGTTCAATGAAACCACAGATTTTTTCGCACATCTTTCAATGAGATTCACCTAGTACTTCAATATATATCCACGTAATGCTGCTTACTTGCGAAAGAATTACACAGAACGGAACACTAATAAACTCGTCAGATACTGTAGGAATGGTGGTGCACAAAGCGAACTTAACATACTTTGCCGAAAACCGAAGGATGAAACCTTGTTGTTACTACTAATATAACATGCCTAGCCATCGCCTTCCTCGACAACAGGCAATGTTAGCTGATATAGAGTCAGCCTGGAAAAGAGCCAGTGGTGGTCAAACCAAAACACGGCTTCATCAGTCAATGAAATCCACAACAGTTAGTTTAAGCTGGCCACGCAGGAAGGTGTAGACTTCTTGACTAGTTGGGGTTCTCGGGACGGTAGAAACCAATGGCTGGAGACAACTGGTGATATGGCTCAAAATCCTCGTTCTCAATGGCTAGCGCAGATACGTCCACTCCTTGTGGCCTATAACATACAATAAAACTATATGGTTCTCCCATATTATTATTCTTTTTGCCTATCTCAGTTTTGCATTTCTTGTTACTTTCTTCTCTTGCTTTGTGTGCTACATGTGGTGACTCGAACTGCTGCACATCGGTGCAAAGTTCTACGTTGAAACCAGTCAGTCAGTCAATACAACAGGGAGACACCTTGAAGAATAAATGATTACGTTGTAAACCGAATAAATGAAACTTGTATGTGGCGAAATGACTGCCCATAACAAACTTCGTCCGCATGCCTTTGAACACTATTCCACTGAAGGGGACTAGTGATCAGTAGGAAGAAAATATGTGAAAATCAAGAAACCCTTGAACCCATCACTTAATGTGCCGTTGTTGTGAAATACAAAAATCTGAATAGAGACTATCATCAGCTATACCTAACACTAATTAGCCAACGGGGGAAGTGATCATCACCTGATCTATGAACCAAACATATCAGTGCTTGTGCGATTCTGTTAAGTTGCTTACCTACCAACCAAGGTGCTACATGTACTGAAAGCATGCGCAGGTATCCTCTGTCGTCACGCAGTAATAAATTTCCATCATAAACCTAGTGGTTACTCAAAGCGCTGTCTTTACGTAAGTATCTCAGAGTTTGTCATCCATCAGCTTACTTCTCCGCAGGACTATGGGACCTATAGTATTAAGTTAGTGTCCTTCAGTTATCGCAGAGGTTTTTCGATTCTGGAGCCCCAACCAGTGTGACAGAATTATACTGGATTACCAAACAATGACTTGCACTTTAGGTACTCTATCAGGTAATTAATAACTCCTACACGAAAACCTTTCTTGAGTCAAAGCACAAAGCCCTGCAGCTTAGATTCCCTTATTTAATGAGTCACTAAATTTCGACTATAGATTCAAGACCGTTCAGAGCCCACCCAGGTTGAGCAAGCGATTGCAGGTAAATACAGCTGCCCCTATCGAAACACTCAACTTTCGGTTACCGTTTCACCTGCCGGAGCTTCTAACTATCGGCCTCCCTAATAAGACTAGACAAATAATAGGCAATACTTGCTGTCGTTTCCAATAAAATTTTACTGCACTCTCGTAGCTTACCTTCATTCGCAATCGTTACGCAGATTTCTAGTTATTTTATGTCTAAGTAGCTTCGTGAACTCATGTTCGGAACCCAAGAGAGTCACCTTTTCAGTTTGGCTGTCGTGGAGTCACACAACCCTAATGGAATTTACTAACCTTCTGACTAATAACAGGGAAAACAGAAGTCAGCTCTTCAATATAGGATTATATCTATACCATTATTATGCTTCTCCAACTTACTCACCTGCCCCCCCCCCATAATGATGTAGACAACTCGTTAGTGACTATATTTCGGCCTTTTTTCTACAAAAATCCAAACATAACATCTGCTGTGCTCCTTTTGATTTCGTCAGTCTAAGCCGGTAACAATAGCGACAGTCCGAAAAATGTCAGAACGGTACTTCATGGCTACTTACAATACTGCGGATGACTTTCTTCTCTAAATCCATTTAAGAGGATGAAGAATAACTTAGCATTATTACTACTAACTCAGGCCGAAACCTGACACTATACCAAACACACAGTCAATGCAGATGAGTCACACGTCAATATGATAACTGCTAGTTCATTACACGCTCTGACACCAACCACAAGAGTACAATGTGACTTTATAACATATTCAGCTAAGTACCCCAATATCCATATGATCAAAACAGACGTGTATTTATGTAGTTTCATAGATTATGATATTGAGAAATGCGTAATAGAAAATTTGACAAGTACATCATCGTTTATGGATGAGCCAAAAACAATGCAGAAATGTATACATAATTCTGTGGTGTGACCTCACGATTAAAGGCCACCGGTTTGTGTCTGAAAAACTTCAATAGTGTCATCCTCTCCCATGTCCAACTAAAGGATTAATATTAAGTCATTAAAGAACTTACCGAAGCAGGAGTGTCAGTATCATGAATATTATTTCCGTCAAAAATAAATCGTACAGTAGGTTGTTTTAAACCCTGAAATGTAATTAGCCTTGTTTTGATGAATGCTAACCAGTCGATCGCAATAAGCCATCATCAACTTCCGTAAGGGGGTATTTTTCTTTATCTTGAAGTGGATGATTGACCCTTCCTGCCCTTGAACTTTGACATTGATATGCTCACTTGATGCATCCTACATAGTAATTAAAGCTTAGTAATAACCATGCGTACAAACGACCATTTACTATCGAAAAACACTTACCTTGTTCACGGATTCACCCATCCCGGCAATTTCTACGTTTCTCGCGGTACTCCGAGGAGAAAAAACAAATCTAATTACATTTCAATTCAATGTCCAATATATACAAAATAAATAATCTGTGACTTTCTCACATAAAAACATCCATTTTTTTCTACTTTATTAGATAATATTAACATTTTATGTTGTGCTACAGTGTCTCAAGTGTTTCGCGCGAACTTTGAAAAGGGTGTATATCATTCTGAAAAATATGTCCATGGAAAAGTGGTTGCGGAAGACTAACGTTGCCATTTTAAATCGTCACCGGCATGCAGTGTGACAGCCGTAAGCGCTTATTCTAGAACATTTGCCTCAACTTAAGCCCTACAGCATACAGACTCTACTACAAGCCTTCGGGAAACTTGCTGTATGATGACTGCTGAATCACAAGTGAGATACGTATCAAAGAAGCCACTGCCGTGTTTAACGAGGCATTAAAGTTTCTGGAATGCAGAGGCAACTAATGCTTAGAAACCGTCTAGCATCTTCGACAAGACACTATGCATACCACCTCACAAGCCTTCATGAAGTCTTCCTATGATCCAAAGATAATGGTTAGTGAGTCTTAAAACATGTAAATAGAGGATAATCACAGAATATTTTATCAAGATGTTGTCCACTGACCAAAACCACGTAGACAGTGTTTGTCTATTATCCTAGTAAATACTAGGTCAGTTCTAAACAAGCACTTAACACTAAGTACACAAGCGTCGGTGGAACAGTGGTTAGGACTGTCGCCAACCATGCAAATGGTCCGGGGTTCGATCCCCTGTCGACACACACCCGATATCTATGGTAGGCCTGAAAATTTGGGCTACCGATGTCGCATGCTGAGAATTCCATACTTGTACCGAAAATACGGTGTGGAATCAAGCTGTAATCAAAATCAAAAAGAATAATACAAATGCGGCCCATCATTGATTATGATCACTGAAGCCTGGTGCACAAGTGAAATCTTCAATGACAACCTAAGAACTGATAACTTAAGCCTTTCTCGAGAGAACGGACACACCTGTCGTGGTTGTGGAACACTAATTTACACTGGACAATTCATATGTACAAACCAGCTCAGTAACCCAATTCTGTCACAACTCAATGACTCGATCTGGGTCGGAATAAAATTTGTCAGAAGTAAACCTATACTTGTGGGTTGTGTGCACTGACCCCCTTCACTCAGTAGGGAGTATGATAATGTGCTCAGCAACATTTTTAATATCACAGCCAGTCTTCCCTTCAGTTGTAAAATTATTGGAGGTGATTTCGATAAGACAGAAGTGTCATGGCCTTCACTCCGAGGACCCCAAAGGTTTGATAATCTTCTGAATTCTGCCGTCACGGGAGGGTGGACACAGCACATAAATTCACCCACAAGATCCGCAAATATCACAGACCCTATTTTCACGAACAAAATAACACCATCTACAGTACATGTGGGATATGAATGTTCAGGTAGTGACCATAAAATAGTAGTGTGCTCTTTTAACATCTTTCCTGAAACAAAACGCAGAGATGAAGCTTGCCAGACACCTGTAAGGTTATGCACACTGGAAAAAACTTGTGTCAGCATCTAGTCAGATGCTCAATTCGGAACTCATAGTTTCCGAACGAGTCCTTAGAGTCAACTCTCAACAATTTTTATCAATATATTAACTCAGTTCATCATGTCATTGCACCTGAGAAGATTCTTACCTTCAAATTCTCCTAAAGCGATTATATTCCGACACTGTTAAGGAGAAGTCTACGGAAAAACTCAATAAAATACTACAGATATCATGACTTATCATCATCAAATGCTATAACGTCCCTTCTCACTAGAATTCAAGAGTTAAGAAATATAGAAACAAAGAAATGAGGGCCACTCAGCCACCGCATAACTCAGGAGAAATAGCCAAACCTTTCAAAAGTAGGTTAACAAGCTCCGAAACAGTTCATCCAAAAGTAATATGCTTAGACAGCGTTACTTATGAGAATACCGAGGTGGGAACTGTTTAGCAAACACTTTGCCAAAACATACACCTTGGAGAACGGTTAGGTCGTGGATTTCCCTCGTAAAACAGACAAATTTCTAAGTGACATACTTGTCAACACACAAGATATCGATAAGGCGGCCTGCTTAAATCTTGGGCTACCAAATACCTTATTCATTAAAAATCATATTGCATCTGATTGCTCATTTCCAATTTATTTTAAAATAACTAAATTTTATTCTAATATGTCCTCTAATCGGATTATTTATTCTCGCGAGTATTTAATATCCTTAAAACCTACTGATCGGAAATGCCATAAAAACGACAAAAAGAAGCATCATGCCGGGTGGCAAAGAGCCTTAAAAAACACCCCTATTCAATTTATGACCGTTCCTGCAATCATGAGTACTAATTGTCGCTCCCTGCCAGCCAAGATTAACTGTCTTCAATCACTCGTGTCCTCCATTATATATCGAAATACTGGGATCATATCACTTCAAGAAACATGGCTACATGATCTATATGATGACAATCTAGTGTATCTGCATGATTTCAAATTATTCAGACAAGATCGATGTAGTTCTAGGAAGAAACGTGGTGGCGGTGTCGCCATCTTCATAAATTCACTATGGTGTACATCTAATAAAGTATGTTTCAAATACTCTAGTGACAACATTGACTGCCCCACCGTCAAATGTCGACCTAAGCATTTGTCAAAATATAACTACATATACATCTCATAGTACAGTACATGAGGGACGCCAGTTTACAGGCATCATCAAATTGTTACAGAAATAGAACCATATAATTTAATCACAATTTACAGCCAGTAGCAAGATATGCTTTACATGTTCGATAGAGATTATACATACACTTGATAAATGTTAATTCCAGTAGTATAAAACAGCCTTTTCACTTATATATAATCATTTCTGTGCAAAGTTGGAAAAATCTGCTAGATTGTCAGTGAGTGCAACACAACAGGAAATACAGGAGTATTGTCTTCGCATTAACAAAAAAACCAGGTCTTTGGTGGATGGATTATAAGTGCCTGGGAAAAAAATAAAGCTTGAAGTAAATATTCATACATAACTTTGTTGTGTGCAGAGTCCTCGAATTATAGTTCATTGATGTGTTATTTTGAAATCAGTGATGTGTTTATTTCATTTGATCTGCAATGTCATTGTTGGGAGTAAGTACATAAGCTTCGGACGCATTAATTAATGGATTTCTACTGATTACGATCTCGAACATTTATATTGCGCCTGGATGCAATTCCACTGAATTGTCTTTATTTGCTGATGAATTTACCTCCCTTGCTGCCACCTCCTTCGGAAACGCCTTGTCTATAGTTACTGGAGATTTCAATTCGAGTGATCACAGTTTCCTTATTTCACTTGGTCATGATAACATTGTCAACTTCCCAACTCGAATGGATAATATTCTAGATCTTGTGTTCACAAATGACATTGGAATATTTGAAGCTCGGAAAAGAGCCCCACTACTTAACTCTGATCACTGCATCATAAGAGTATTGCCCAAGGTATATGGAAAGCTGCACAAAAGAGTCTTCTCCAACCTTGGAAAGAAAACACAACACAGATGTTATTCACACGACAACATACAGAATCTAAGGACAATGTTAAATGACACAAACTGGGACCTGTTTACTGAACAAGCTCTTGACAACACAATTAGTAACATAACACATTATCTCAATTTCTGTCTTGATGTTTGTTGTCCCAAAGAGACAATCTTCTTAAAGTTCGACCGTTTCGCCTCTTCTCAACTCAAAAAGCTTCGCCGTGAAAAAGACAGGTTGTACAAAATGAGAAATAAATCTGGCGTTAAGAGAATGAATACTTTAATTAAAGCCGAATTACAAAGACTAAATGCTCTCTATAATCAGAAGTTTCTTTCCTGTAAATCCTCATCTAATATGTGGAAGCTATTAAAGGAAATCACAGGTGGTAAGCAAATAATGAATGATACTTCCGTTGATGTTGACATGCTTAATAAATCCTTTATATGTATCCCTGCAGATGTTATGATTCCCAAATCTAATAGAATAAATAATGACTGCTTCTCATGTTTTAACACGAATGATGTCCTCAAGTGTCTTCAGTCTCTCAAACCTACCCAGTCCCTTGGTCCTGATGGAGTTCCTGCTGTTATCCTTAAGAAGTGTGCTGACATCTTATGTTCCCCATTAACTGACATTTTCAATGAATCTTTTTCCAAAAGCATTATTCCTGACTCATGGAAAAACATCAAGGTTGTTCCAGTGCCTAAATCAACAAGTGGACCTACTGTCAAGTTTAGACCCATTGCTATTACCTCACCTTTTTTAAAAGTTATGGAAAGACTTATTTTACTTAATCTTGAACCCTCTTTAAAGCCTTTTAATGACCCCAACCAGTTTGCCTATAAACATAGTAGGTGTACGTTAGATGCCGCTGTAGTTCTATATCATAATATAGTCTCTAGTTTAGATAGATGAGCCAAATGTGTTCGGTGTGCCTTCCTTGATTACACATCTGCATTTGACTCTGTACCTAGGTCTCTCTTGTTAAGTAAGCTTGCTGCAACACAGACTGAGAGCTGGATAAATAAGTGGTTGTATTCCTACTTTTCTGATAGGAAGCAGTACACTGTCTACAATGGAAAGTCCTCCACTACCTCACTTACTTTAGCTGGTGTTCCTCAGGGTGCTGTTCTTTCTCCTTTTCTGTTTTCTTTTTTCTTACATGACCTGCCCCATTCTGATGTAGCAACTTTTGTCAAGTATGCTGATGACCTGTCTGTCTCCATGCCTGTCAACTCTCAGTCAGACTGTTCCATACTAAATAACTTTCTCTCGGAAATTAGTCAGTGGTCCTCTTCAAACGGTCTTAAGCTGAATCCGTCTAAATGTCAGGTAGTAAATTTCTCTTTCAGACGAAAAAGTGACCTACAACAACTAGCTAGCTCACACGGTCCCACTATCATTGATGGCATAGAGGTTGAAACTACATCTAA